GGTGTAGAGTTGCCAGAATGGGCAGATGCTGTGTCCACCAGCTCCCCATGAGACCTTAGCAGGGGTGCCCAGTCCATAGCCTGGCCTTTGTTTTACATGGTTTGTTGAAGGGATTTGTATCCCTACTGAAAATGTTATCTAATTTGTAAACATTCAGAGCTGGAGTGACTTTAAATGTCATTAACACTACTAAATTGGACACTAGTGGCTGTAATAGATTTTTCAATCATTTGCAGTTAAGTTTCTTGGCCCATGTAAATCATTCAGTTTCTAAATATTATTTTGTAACTTTTAAAGAATAAACTACTGGAAAAAAATATTTGCAGCTTCTAGAAAACATTCAGGGGCCAGCTTGATTGAATGAATTGATCTTTAGATTTGGTTGACAACTATCATCCATAATAGATGTTGATAGAAACATCTAAGAAATCAACTCTCAGTTCTCTAATAAACAAAAAAACTATCAATAAGCAACACGGTGAAAGATTCCCTAAAGCAGGTCCAGGGCTGGGGGGCAGGAGACCCAGTGGGCCCTCTCTTGGCCTTAATCCAATCCCCCTGTCCCTCCACAGTGTGAAGCACATCTCCTGCTCCCTGCTCATCCTGCACGCTGAGGACGACCCTGTTGTGCCCTTTCAGCTTGGCAGAAAGGTGAGTGTAGGGGACAGGCCTGGAACAGACCCAGAACCAGAACAGGCAGGCCACAGGCTGATGTGAGATGTGTTCTGCTGCTGGTGTATGGTAAGGAAGAGGGTGGAGGTGGTGACTAGAGTTGTGTGCGTGGGGCTGAGGCGGGGAGGAGACTGGGGTGGGTACGGGAGAAGCTATTGCTTTCTACAAGAGGAACCATGAGAAATAAGCAAATGGCTTCCAGGTTCCCATTCAGGGGTCTTATCTGGTGGAGACCAGACAGTGGAGCCTCAGCTGGGAGGTGCTCCCCAGCTCCAACACAGAGGTCCTCATAGTTACTAGGCCTGACCACAGAAACCTCTCATCTTTCTTGCATTTGGGATTGGATTGATATCAGGAATATTATGTTGTCCTGGGGCTTCCACACTTGCTTACCTTTGTTGCCCAGAAGTGTATGAGAGTGTGATAGTAAAAGGCCAAGGGCAGGTTCAAACGAGGAGTCTGTCAAGCCTGGGGCATTTTGCTTCAGTCTCAGAACAAGCCCCAACAGGCCACTGCACCTACCCCACCATGGAGTTGGGTGACCTGAAGCAGTACAACAGGGAGTTGGCATTTTGACTGTCCTTGACCTGGGAACTCCTCCTGGCCTTGTTGGATCCACACACCAGTCTCAGCTCTCCAGCTTTACATTCTACTTTAGAGGTCTTCCAGTCTTCAGAGTTGTCGAAGATGGAGGCCTGAAAGCAGAGAGGGACTAGAATGGCAGGCAGTCTGAGTCTGGGCCTTGCTCCTTCCAGTATCTTCTGACTGTTGTAGATAGTGGGGCAGAAGTACTGTGTGTGAATTTGTGTGCATGTTGGGGATGGTGGTCCATGGTGCTGAGTTGCCCTTCAAAAGGCCACTGAACAGTTTCTATTGAGGGGAAAGACAGGTTACCCACAGGTGTTGGGCCTTCACACTGTCTCTGGGTGCTGACCCATTTCTCTCTCTCCTCAGCTCTACAATATCGCTGCACCATCTCGAAGCTTTCGAGACTTCAAAGTTCAGTTTATCCCCTTTCATTCAGACCTTGGCTATAGGCACAAGTACATCTACAAGAGCCCTGAGCTTCCACGGATACTGAGGTGAAGCATTTTTCTTATCACAGATGCCATCCTGGGCAGCGATGGTTCAGGCCAGGTCATAGCCATTGAGACTCAGTCATAGCCACTAACGTCATAGCCACTGAGGCTCCCGAGGGTCTTAATGGGCCAAGAGACACACTGACTCAGGAGCCTTTCATTTCCATTGAGAGGGGTTGAGAGAGTTTATTGTCTATCCCTCCTGGACTGCTTTCATGATCAGACAAGTAGTGATGTCCCTGTGGCACAGGCTGTGCAGGTGCACACAGAAGCCCACATGGCTGCGCCCAGTCCACGGACCACTGCATGTGGCCTGCTGTTGTGGTCAGGCTTCAGTCCCTCCCAAGCAATTCTGTCAGGTTGCGCTGCATGTGGCACATAGGGAACTCTGACCTGGGCTCACTGCTCAAAAGCTTTTTGTTCCACAGCCACTTCTTAGAGGCTGTACTGACTATGCTGTGTTGAGTGGAATCCTGGACCAGGCATGGATGTAGCCACAGCCCTGATGCAGGCCCCACATATGAGTAGTGGTGCAGGGAATGATTCAGTTGGACGTGGCCTGGCTCTGCCTTAGGATCTGGCTCCTGTGCCAGGGCAAGGCCCATGATGCAGCATGTGCTGCCTGTTCTCCCTGTCTCCCTCAAGGGCACTGGCACCATCCATTGCTTCCTGTCACCTTCTGCTGGATGCCAAGGTTGGGATGGGGAGAGTTCGCCTTTCTGAGGCAGCTGGCCCCACAGGGATGCTCAGAGCAGCCCTCAGTGAGGTATATTTCATGAGTAATTCTCGCTTAAACCTCAGCTCTCCCCTAGCTGGCCCTGAAAGTCGGGCAGCAAAGCAACATTTCTTTTAGCAGTTTGCCATTCCTGCCACATGGTTGTGGGTTGCTGAGAGGGCACAGTGAACTGAAAGGTTGGGTTATAATTTTTCTCTATTATAAAAGGAATATAGTACAGGAAATTTAGGTGAGTACAGCGCTAAAGTTTAGAACAAGGTGTAGTGAGTAGCCCATGAACTTGTCTTTATTCCTACAAATTTCCATTGATGCCATTAATGTCCTGCTGGTGAGCTCACAGTGGGTTTTCTACAGATGCATTTGAGGGGCTCTTCAGGGCCAAGGGATTCAGCTCACATGTATTCTGTCCTGGTCTAGGGAGTTCCTGGGAAAGTCAGAACCTGAGCGCCAGCACTGAATCTCGCTACCTGAAGGAGCATGAAGACCTCTGCCCTTCATCCCTTTCCTCCGGCCAGCCCAACACCCCAGAGCCTGGAGGGGCCACTGTCTGCAATGCCTCGGGAGAGCGGCCTGGATACCAGTCAGGGCAGATGGGGAAGGCCCCAGCAGACCTATGGCATCGCAGTGCCTGGGAACATGGATCTTTGTGGAAAACTTGGGTGTCAGACGTGTGGCCCCTCTCCCTTTTGCTGCCATTCAACCTGAGCTCTTGTTGGGAAGACTTAGTAACAGATCAGGCAGGCCACAAGCAGGTCATGCCTATACTTCCTGAGCTGGGCATGGAGAGCCCAGAGCAGGAGGCCTTGGGTCTCAGGACCACACTGAGCTTTCAGACACAACCTGTGAGAGAATGTGGGAAGATTTGGCTTCTTTCTGTCTCTTGCTGACACCCACAGAATGGACTCTAGTTTGATCGCCCTCCTCCCACCGGGAGCAGCCGCTTACCCTCCTTGGCCATCTGCCTCCCTGCACAGCCCAGCTCTCTCACTGCAGGGAGACGCCCAGAATCTACACTTCCTCTGCATCTCACCCATCTGCCTAACCTGGCCTTAGACTGAGCATTTATTTAAGAATAAAATCGTGGTGGTGGTCTGTGTTGGTTTCTCAGTTATTCCACAGCTATGCCTCTCAGAGCCCAGCCCTGTGACGGGAGGGCAGCTCTGTCAGCCTTTTCTCCTTCCATCAGATACCCAGGTCCCTGTAGGGAGGGTCTTGTCTTGGGCGAAAGCATGTTTACAGGGGCATTGCTTCTCCAAATAGGGCAGCCAGCATGTTCCTGGAATACAGGCCTATGTAGGCGACCCTTCTAACCTTATGCATAGCATCAGCTGTTGTTGTCGATGGGTGACCACTGGTTTTCAGAGACAAGCCTGACTACTCATGAAAATACTTATGCTGCTGGAGCACAGGTCCCACCTGCGAGCCTTGCCTCACTCGCTCACTGGTGGTGGCTCACCAATTTGACTTTGTCAGATTGGCCTCCCTGCAGTTCTGTTGCTCCCACCTGACAGTAAGTACTAATAATCCCTCTTTCCGCTCACCACCCTCTCACTAGGGAAAGGGCAGAGTCTTCCGACCTGGCTAAGTGACCTCTGAGAACCTTAGGGTGCATGGGGCTGTCCCTGCTGGAGCTATCGTCCCTTTATGGTGTGGGGACAAAGGTTGCCCAGGCCGGAGGAGTAAGCCCTCTGGGTCTCCTGTCAGGGGCCTCCTTAGGGTGTGGAACTTTCCCTAGCCCAGCTCAGCACTGAAGTAGATATGACCAGGACTGCAGAGTCTCAGATCTGCCTTCCTATCTCACGCAAGGCTTCATTCTTGTGTTTTTAAACTTGTGTCTCTGAGAGCTGTCTCATCTTTTGGCACTGAGGATATATAGTAAAAATACAAGCTGTTAGTATTTGTGTGTGTGTGACAAGGCAGACTGAAGATAGGAAGCAATAAAAGGGGGTGCTGGGCTCACCCAGTGGGTGCCATTGTCAGTTAATTTGTACCACCACCTGGTGGCATTTACCTCATTACTTTGGTCCAAACAACTAAGCTTAAATGACACTTTGCAGGCTACAAAACAACTTTGTGGCCATAGAGCAGCCCTCAAAAAGCCAGCTAGAAATGTGAGCACAGCTGTAAATCACAGTTGGTGGCAGTTTTGAGATTCTCTGGTAATGCTAAATCCTGACAGCTCATGTCCTTTCCCAAGTTTTTAATTCAAGCTGCAGATGGTCAACTCTAGAGGGAATGTTTTGGTTCCCAGGATATTCCACTTACCAGGACCACTCACCACCCACCCACAAGTGGTGGCAAAAAGGAGCTAACAGATCACACCAGAAGTTCCTGACAGTTTGTCAAATGCTAGATTTGACAATTCTTAAGATGAATTGGAGGTTCAGGATCATAGGGCTTCAAGTTCCAAAAGCAGTTGGGATGAGAAAACTGTTTAGCCGGCCCTACAAAGAAAGGGCTGAGGCACCCCGGAAACCGAATTACCCTCAGTACAAAGTGAAGCAGAGGCCATGTCAGCCAAGCACAGGCAGGAGGGTTTAATCAGTTCTCACATGAGGCAGCAACGTAAAAGGTTACAGTGATGGTCACGTGGACTAAGGGCCAGGGCAGTGTGGGATGCCAGGGCACCACCACCGCCCCAGAATATGTCCCTCACCTATAGACTCTAGTGGCTCTGAAGTGTGCATGTGAACAAAACCCTGCAGTCTGGTTCTGAGAGTGGATGGAAGCTGGGGCGAGGTGGTGTGTGGTCCCCACACCACCCAGACCCAGCTGGCAAGGCTCCTTCAAGCTGCTTCTAGAAGGGATCTTCCCTGATGTCTCCAACAACCCCTGGTAAAGGGCCCGATCTGCTCCCTGGTTTCTTGGGGGCACCTGAGAGGGGCTCACTGTGCCCTCCCTGGCACCAGTCTTCTGCCAAGGCAGATTGAAAAGGGGCTCGCTTATGGGTCCATTGGGTCCTTTTCCAGACCATATTGTTAAACTGGTGAGAATGAAGGCTGGTTGGTGTGTGTGTGCACATACACACACTCATGTACGGGTGTGTGGTTTTATGCGTGCGAGATAGAAGTTCACCCTCCAGGACTGACAAGGGATACACAAGGCCACCACCGTAATGGCCATGCCCTCCCAGGAACACAGTCCAATAAAAAAGCAGCCAGTGGGCTGTGGGCACAATGCTTGAAACTGGCCTGGGGTGCAGAATTGACAAGAAAACCAAAGCCAGCTGGGCCCAGCACCGGGGCACCTAATCCCTGGGGAGGTTAGGTGGTGGGATCTGCAGGTCAGAGGGCTCTACACCCCAGATGTCCCGAGCATACTCCGTGATGGTCCGGTCACTGGAGAACTTGCCCGAGCAGGCGATGTTTCTGATGACCTTCTTGGTCCACTCTGTGGGGTTCTGCAGAAAAAAGGAGAAGCACAGAGAGCCTGAGCTTCCAGAATGTTAGGGCTTTTTCCAGACTCTAAGCTCTGAGACTCCAGGGAAGCCAGATGGAAGAGGAGGGAGTTACAATCAATAGTCACTGAAAAGGGACTCCCTGCTATGACCAGAAAAAGTATCAAATGACTGTAAGGGGGAGAGAGCACAGCAAGTGCCCTGCCCTGGAAATCCTGCTAGAGATGTGGTAACATGGCAAAGACAGAGGCCACCAGATGGCTCCATGCCTGGGGAAGCGGCTGAGCAGCCTCCTTCCAGAGCTTCTTGCAGGGCCTGGCAGCTGCACCCAGGAGGACACCCCAAGGGACACTCTTCTGAGCCCAGCGCTGCCAGGTGGGTATGGGCGAGCATAGGGCACACTCTCCCTATGGGACCGACTGTGGAGCAAGCTCTCACGCCTGCACCGTGGAGGGGAGGGGAGGAGAGATTTGACCTAATAAGTCCGTGCTTAGAGACTCCTCTCCTAACACATCTGAGTCCTTGCTCAGCCTAATGTTGAAGCCTTTGCCCTTTTCCAAGAAATTGTTCACATTCTCATTCCAAGAAATTGTTCACATTCTCATTGCAAACACATGTTTTCTGTGCACACAAAGATCTTCACACTTGGCAAGCCCGTCCCTCATTGTGGGCCTTGCACCCTTATACTTCACACCCACCTGAGGCCCAGTCACACTCATACTGGCCAGTAACATCTCAGTCCTGTGCAGACCATTCCCCTCACAGGTCAGTCAGATGGTAGGATAAAGAGCTCATCATCTCTGGGCCACATCTCAGTCCTGTGCAGACCATTCCCCTCACAGGTCAGTCAGATGGTAGGCTAAAGAGCTCATCATCTCTGGGCCACATCTCAGTCCTGTGCAGACCATTCCCCTCACAGGTCAGTCAGATGGTAGGCTAAAGAGCTCATCATCTCTGGGCCACAGCTCAGAGCCTCGAGAGGTCCACCTCTGCCTGCTCACTCACCTTGTGGCAGCTCAGAGGCTGCAGGGGAAACCAGTGTCAAATAGGGAGACCCCACCTGTGTCAGTGTGGACAGCAGCATAGTGTCAATGGGGTCACAGGGCACTAGGCCGGGTAGGGGAGAGCAGATGGACAGCTGAGTACCAAGTGGGTAATAATAAAAAAAAGCAGAGGATGGCAGGAGAGCCTGGAGTCCCAGTCACCCTGTTCTGAGTCACACCAGCCAAGTGGGTAATGATAAAAAAGCAGAGGATGGCAGGAGAGCCTGGAATCCCCAGTCACCCTGTTCTGAGTCACACCAGCTGAATTATAACCTCCTGGGAATGGCCCAAGATGGCAAGACAAAGATGCACCCCCACAGTTCCCCAGCTAGGGCCACTCTTATCAGCTATGGGGCCCAAGAATCTTACTCTGTACAGTTGGTCCACCTGGGCCTGGCACTCCATGTACGCTTCATAATCCGCAAACACCTTGAACCTGAAATGGGAGATAAGAGGCTGGGCCCATGTGGGTGGTGAGTGGGCGGCCATGGAACTACCCACTAGCCCCAAGCTGCTCTATGGCCAGCATGTCTATCTTGGGGACACTACTGGAAAACCTTATTTTAATCCAATGTTGAGTAAAGAAGCTAGGCTTTACAATGCTCGGCCCCATGAAAGTGGGTTCACTACTCAGGCAGAGATTTCCTGCCAGTTTCCCCTCCCAGGGGAAGGGGCAAGGTGGACAGATGGTGGCTCCACTTAGCTATTTATTCCATTTAGTCTATTTTCAAGTCTAAGTGGGTTGAGCACTAGTGACACAGGAAAAGGTCATTTGCATTTTTCTGGTGCTTTGAACAAAATAAAAGTTTTATGAAGTGATGAGAGAAATGAATTTTTGTTTGTAACTGGCTCAGAAACAATTTATAAAGCCATTAAAACCCCTCCATCAATCATACATCTTGGCCAGAGCTGTTTCCAGTTCCAGGTTGTGTGTGTGTGTGTGTGTGTGTGTGTGTGTGTTTACGCGTGGTGTGTACGTGTGTGTGAGCTGGTCTGATGAATCCAGCTGCTACCTCTCATCAAAAAGCAACAGACAGAACTAACCCAATGGCAAGTGAAAGTGACAAAGGGCTTAATTCTTACCAGATTCAACTTTTACCAACAGGGTGGAACAAAGAACCTTCATGACACTGAAAATTAGTCTGTTATGACTTAGTGCTCTATAAATAATCAGTAAGTCTACAACCACAGATGCGTTAGAACTACATTACATGTCCTGTAATGAACACTACACTGTCGTTCATCATAAAGTCACTCCACTTTCACCATTTCCTGTCACTCTGGGTTGCCATTTGCCATAATGGGATCCCTATTATTCCTGGGGAGTAGAGGCAGCACCTCCACCAGCCCCATGGATGCCACCCTTGCCGGCCACACTCATCCAGGAGGTGCTGGTGCTGGGGGGTCTGGAGGTGTACTAGGCAGCATTCATCACCACCCTTAGAGCCCTGCAGCACATGAGGCACCATCAGCATCCATAGCCAGCTTGGGCCCGGGGTACAGCAGAGCTCTCTGGGTGGGCATCTGAGATTCTACCCCCAACCAACCCCTATCCCACCACTACCAAAAACCTACATTTTTAACTGTCTGATGAGGGGAGACACCAGGGACAAAGGGGAGGCTGGCCCCACCTGTCATGGTACAGCAGCATGTTGACGACATCCTTGAAGCAGTCAGGCTCCTTGGGGGAGAAGAAGCCACTGCTGATCTGGTCCACAGCCTGCCTCAGCTCAGGCAGGCGCTCGTAGTACTCCCTGGCATTGTACCTGCGGGAGGTCGGGCTGTGAGAGGGCCACCCGGGCCTGCCCCCATGCCCCAAGTCTTTGAAGCCTGCAGGGCAGCTGGAGGGCCCTGCCAGGTGCCTCCTGTTCCTCCTCTGGCACAGAAATATGGCTGCTTGGGACACAGCCTCACATACACTTTGTCATGTTCCTGCTGGAGCTGCTGCTCAGGAACTGGATCCTGGCAGAACTCTTAGCAACTCCAGCTGCGCGACCCTTCTGGATGGAGGAGAAAAAGGTATGTGAACAGGAACAGGAGATGGAGGAGACGAGTGGGCCCATCAGGGAGTCTGGGGAGAGGGTGGCAGGTGGTACCCTGTGTGCCAGGACAGGGATATGGGGGCAGAAAGACCCTGAGTGAGGGGCTGATAGAAAATGGGACATGGGGTGGGGGTCATGCTCAGACTGACAGGGACACAGTTCTGATGTTCCAATGACATCTGGAATTTCTGTTGATAGGCACTGAGGCCTCATTTATTCTCCTGAGAGTTTTTTGGCAATTAGGCAATGCTGCCTTCAATTACTGCTCAGAACTAGGCTGGGGCTGGCACTCAAGAGTCTCTAAAGTCTTGAAAAACAATGAAAGGCTGAGAAACATGCCAGGGAAGACTGAACACTGAGGTTTAAACAATGGGGCCCCCAAACAGGAACCTGGGACAGAGAAGGGTGTTCATGAGGAAATCTGAGCACAGGATTGTCTTTGGTAAATAACAGTATATACACTTACTGATTAGTTCTGATGATCTATCATACTAATCAGTAATATATATGCCCCAGGAGGCTCAGAAGGGCAAGTAGAGCCCCTCATGGCCTGCAACTTTCTGTGAATTAAAGTTACTCCGAACAAAAAGGTCACTGCACGGAGACAGGCCACTGTCAATGGGTCAGCCCAAAGCCCCCAAGTTACTGAGAGTGCTCAGAGTCCTGTCCCCAAGGGCTCACCCCAAACACCAGGGCATCTTATGCATAGAAACCCCTGGGCTGAGGAGTCAAAGTACAGAGCGGCCACTCCTGTCCACGCCGACTCAGGACAGCCTTCCAGGGCCTGGGAAGCTGGCAGATGTGGCGTACCTGCAAAAGCTCCACCACCCTCCCTGGGGCTCTGGGCAGTGCCCGGGACACATACCCTTTTCGGTCCAGGGCCTCAACATCCTCTACCCGCAGGCCAAAGATGAAGAGGTTCTCAGCTCCAGCCTCCTCAGCCATCTCCACATTGGCACCATCCATGGTGCCAATGGTCAGGGCCCCGTTGAGCATGAACTTCATGTTGCCTGTGCCTGAGGCCTCTGTGCCCGCAGTGGAGATCTGCTGTGACAAGTCTGCGGCCGGGATCACTGTGCAGGGGAGGGACCACAAGAGGGTGTGTCACCACTGGGATGTGATAGGAACACCACGCCCTCTCCCTTGAAGGGGCTCCCAGGTCTCCCTTTCTGGCATTCCAGGATGAGCTAGTGGCTCCCTTACCCTGTGGTAGGCAGAGCATTGCCCACCTTGCCTGTAAAACGCCTTCTTAATCCAGGGCAACCTGAGACAGAGGGTCCACGATGAGACACCTGAGAATCTTTGTGCTGGAACTTTACTGATCATAGACTAAACTCCACAGAGCACGCTCAGGGTGTCAGGCCCTGGGTTGCTTCAGAGGACAGAAAGGACAAGTACCGACCCAGATTAGAAGTAGGCAGTGCCGTTGAGAGCCAAGCAGGTGAGGGCAGAGGGGTCCTCTGGGTGGGTGGGGGAGAGGGAGGTGAGGCACTGTGCTGCCTGGGCAGGGGCACTCCTGCCAGCCAGAAAGCTGAGGAGCGGAAAGGCAAAGATGAGGGGCAGAGGAAAGGGGAAAGAGAGGGACACTGAGGTCACAGGCAGGAGCAAGAAAATACAGGCATAGAGGCTACCCAAGGCCTGAGGGGCCGCCCCACCGATGTAGGTGGGGAGCTTCCTCAAAGCCTCCCACTGCTAGACAGAGGTGCTCTCGGCCGCAGGGCAGAGTTAATGCTCCTGAGAGTAAGTGGCCCTGCCCAGCACTGCCAAGCAGGGGCAAGTTTCTGCTTATGTGACTGTCCGGCACTACCTTTCTCAGCCAAGGATACACGGTAATTCTCCAGGAAGATCACTTTGAGCTTGTCGCCCACGACTGGATCATGGTTGACCACGTCGCTGATGGATGTGACCAGCTTGATGATCATCTTGGCCATATGGTAACCTGGAGCTGCCTGGACAGGAAGGGAACACACTGGGCTAGGCTGGGACATGGTTGGGCGCCCAGAGGGGCCCGTCACCTTTACAGGCCATCACAGCCTGGTTGCCAGCCCCACGGGGTCACCCTCTGCTGGTGTCAAGAGAGGTGGCTCTCAGATGCTGAGGCTTGGTGTCCCTGTGTCTGGCACATGACCTGGTAGACAGATGAGTGACAACAGAGCCCACACCACTGGGTACCAGGCCTCGCCATCGACCGACCATGTGCACAACGTGTGGGTTTTACCTTGTTTTGCTTCTCTGCTTTTCAGAAATGGGGAGCTAAAAGGAACAAGAACTTACAGAACTGAGAACCAAGTAACAGAAAGTACAGGAACCTAAGGAACTTCTGGAACATACCAGAGGATGCAGTCAGAAAACCAACCCAGGGGAGGACAAGCAACCCAATTTCTATGAAAAATAAGTTGCGAGGCAGAAGTAGGAAACACATAAGAAAAATCTCACATTAAAAGATTTAAGAGACAGAACCGATTGCCATGTGACCTCGTTGGGACCCCGTAAAACACACCGCTTGAGTTAGACGTCACTTTAATGAGTTATCTGGGCATGAGGCTCCAGCTGACCTCTGGGGGCCTGAAGGAATTCTTGTCAAGTGTCTGAGGGTGAGGGTGGCACTGTGTGGTGGCATCTGAACACACGTACACTGTGGTTTGTGAAGACGTGATGCAGTGCTTGGGGAGAAGCAGTGTCATGTAATGTGCCCTGAAGTAGCCCAGTGCAGCCGAGGGCTAGGTATTTGGATGGTCCACCAATCTCAGTATTCTCTAGCTTGAAATCTGCAACATTTTAAAAATGTGTTGAAATTCCACATTTCAGTGTACACTGACTGACTCTAACTTCAGAAATGGCAGGGCTGGGGGAGAAGGCAGAGGCCAACAACGCGGCGTGTGTTGCTCTGGCTTCAGTGGCCTGAGCTGTGCAGGTCTTTGGCTCAGCCTCATGCGTGTCTGCGCTACAGGAGAGGACAGAGCCTACTGGCCAAGGACAGGCAACAGTCCCTACCAGTACCCAGGCCCTACCGTGAGGACCCCCCGAAAGAAACTGTGCCCCAGTGCACCTCATGTTATCTGATGTCACCCAGGAAAAGTGGTGGTGGTGGTGGGGGGGGGAGTTCTGCCAGCCCAGGAGTGCAGAACACGACAAGGGGACCTGATGTTCAGTGTCAGCACACTGGGCCCGCAGGACAGCATGTCCTGAAGCATGAGCCTAGGTAAACTGAGGTGCGATCAGGCTGAACCTGGAACAGATGCACATGTGGCTACACCCAGACTGAACAGGTACCCGGTTGACAAAGTAGCCAAGGCCCAGAGTCCTTCTGGCCCATGAGTGCTGGGGAGTAGCAGGTAAGACTGGGGGCCACAGCCAGCACAGAACAGAAAGGTGGTGGTTACTCAGAGAAAAGTCATGACCATGGAATTGGGGGTGGGCGAGGGCTGCCCACATGCTGTGCAGGCACGGCCCATCCACCCCCATCACAGAGCTGAGGAAGAGAGGACTAACTCAGCTCACAAGCACACAGGGGACCAGATGGTGTCAACTGGCACTGGCTACTGCAGTGTCCAGTCCATGGGCAGCTGGCTCCAATCTTGCCAAAACCATGCAGGGTTGTGCACGCTGGCCAAGCACCAAGCAAGGGCAGAGGAGCCTGCTCACCTTGCCTCCAATCATGACAGTCCTGGGCACAATGGCTTTGGCTGGATCCTTCTTTATTCCTGCAGGACAAACAAAAGAGAGTCAAGTGGGGTGACCAGAGCCAGATATCTTCTGCCCTGGGTCATGCCATGGTGCTCAGTGTCCTGAGATCAACCCTCACACAGGCAGCAGGGCACAGTCACTGGGCCCCTACACACCCACCAGGAGCTCCCACTCACAGAAGGGGATGAGGCCCCTGGCTCTGCACATGTGACCCGGGTTGATGAGGCAGGCCAGCCTGGAGCCGAGTCTTCCTAAAAGCTCACCGGAAAAGCGGCGCTGGTGGTTTCAGCACAGCCCAAACCGTGTACCTGTTCTGGGGGCTGATCACCAGCATAAGACTCTTGCAAGTGATGGCCACATGAAGAAGAGGTGACTTCAGGGTCACGGTAATGGTACTCTTACCCACTGAGGTGTGTTACGATACGTAAACACCCCCCTCCCACACACACACACCTGCCCAAGTCCCTGCACTTTCTCGTTGTGACCAGAGGTAAGAAGTCCCTCCTGAAGCACCTTAAGTGGCAGCAAAACGAGTGTATCCTGGCTGGGAAAACGGTTTTCAGATTTCAGTGTATGCTGGGGAAGGTGTCCACACAGAGGGTGAGGTGGCCTTGACCAGAATTTGCCTGGGCCAGGAATTAACATCAAGATTTGTGGGTGACCCCAGTTATAGAAAGAGTATAGCTGTTCCTTAATTCTAAATTTCCTCCTTCCAGAAATCAGAATTAGCTATGGCTATACCATTCTGAATGGGCCTGACCTCAGGAATCAGATGGAATAACATAGAGCAAGAAAAATCAACAACACCAACTACATTTTTCACCAAAACTAGGAAAAAAGAAAAACCTGCAAAGTCCAGATCACTGCACGAGCTATGCCAGGTGGTGGATAGTTGGGGCCAGGCAGGAAGCCAGGGCAAGGGGCTAGGGAGTGTATGTGGGGAGGGGGGGAGGGCTGTCTGGGGAGTCCTGGCCTAACATCCCAGGAAAGAGCCCAGAGCCAGCCCACCAACTTTGTAAGCATGTCTCCTACAGGGAAACCTCACAAGGAGGGCCCTGGCATCCTGTGGACAGAGACCCAGAGGGCAGGAGCCAGGGCATCAGGGCTAGTGGCTCTCTATGCCAATTTGGGCTTGAAATGCAGCCACATGAGGAGCCTGTGGTATCCAGAGCCCATGGAGTTCTGGGTCATGTGCAGCTCTTCTGTGTCAGGAGCTGCAGAAGTGCCTCGCTGCAAATGAGGAGACATCTTCCCTGCAACCTGTGGTGCCCACTAACCTGGAAAGGAGGCCACAGTGTCAAAAAGTACAGCGGTGGGGAGAGGGTAAGAAAACTGTATGGGGAATGAAGCATGGGGGGGAAAGGCAGGACCAGTGCCCAAACGGCAGCCTGGTTCCGGAACCCCAGAGGGCATGGAGATTTGAGAGGCATCGCAGCACACAAAGGAGAGAAGACAAGCAGACAGCACAGAACAAAAAGGGAAGATCTTCGGGAAATGCTCAGATATCACGACCTCAGACAAGGTGGGCGGGCAGAAAAAAACCTATACCACCCTCCTGAAGCCTGGAAAGGGGACCCAACAATGGCTCCAAGCAGCTGTTCTAGAGTCTATTTCCAGACAACTTCTGGAAATAATACAAGATATCAACTGACAAAGTCAAAGAACCTGGACAGGAACATTGGCCACCTGGGCTGGGCCTGGACGTAGCCCAGCACACTTAGTGCTGGCGCAGAGAACACTCGGGGACCAAGACATCCCCCTGCCAGACATCAGAGTGCGGGGATCAAAGCTGCTCAGGGCTAGAAAGGAAAGCTGAGTGTCACCTTCAGTAGGTGTCCTTTGCGCTGCAAGCCTATAGGCTTTTCGGAACCTGCAGGGAGCGCCTGGGAGCTCAGCTTACACAAGTGACTGTTGCAGACTCAGCTAAAGGACAGGGACTGAACATGTCCAATTCAAACTGACACAGACAAATGCTGGGGACAAAGACAAGAGTGATGCCATTGTACCCTCCAACCACAGAGAAACACCATGCGCAAGTGCTTGGACACAAATGCAGGCAAGGGTGATGGGCCACCAGGCCCTCGCTGCTGGCAGTGACAACTACTGTCCCATGCGGTGGGATTGGATGGCGGGGAAGTGTGCCTAGAGACCTTCACTGCTGATCACAAATGGGATGGGGACCCCTGGGGAAATGACAAAATAAAAGCAGAAAATCTCAACTTGCAAGAGAAGATCATGGCAAAGAAACCACAGGACTCAACGAACTGCTGTCTCCACCTAGCCTGCAGGCCACACACACAGGCGAGCATGCCTGGTGCTTCTCTCAAGGGCAACTAACGTAGCACCAAGCCAGTGTTGGTCCTATTACTTACCTGCCTCCCTAGTGACAGACTCCTCCGCCTGACAAGTCTGCCTTACTGGTAACAGGGGACCTGATGCTCTTAAAAGGGATGTATCTTAAAAAGAGGTTTTGTGGCCTCCTTTGGCCTTCAAAATTAATAATCACTTTATTATATTTCAATAATGTGAAACCAAATTTTCCCCTAAGGTTTTATTCATTTATAAGCCTACATGCAATATGTATTTACTTGAAGGGGTCTTTGTTTTCTCTCATCATTAAATGTTGCTTAAACCATTGAAGGTACATGCACAAATGCATACATCTTCCACTTAATGTCTTTTATCAGTAGACTTTAACAAGTCTTTTCAATAACTTAAGGTAAGTCTAATCAAGATAACCAATCATGCTTTTGAGTCCCTCGGAGGCTCCCACCAAGACCCTGTTCTGAACACATGGGTGCAGCTAAGTTTCCGCACCCCTGGGCTCTTCTGAGGAGCCCAGCTGTCCACCTGTTCCCTGGAGCCCAGGCTACGAGCACCAGACTGGAGGCAGCATCACCACCTACCTGGGTAACCGCTCTGGCACAAAGCACAGGGAAAACATAAGACTGTTGCTTAAAATAAATGTGCACACATCCCTTGCTCCCCACCCAGCTATGAGAGGAAAAGGCCCAGGTGGAGGATGGGCACCCAGTGAGCCAGTCCTGGGCCCAGCTGAAGGTCAAGGTCAAGTGGCTGGCCACTCACGGTTGTACAAGGTGACAATGTGCAGGCAGTTCAGCAGCTGCCGCTTGTACTCGTGGATCCTCTTCACGTGCACGTCAAACATGGAAGAGGGGTTGATTTTCACCTTGTACTCCTTCTCCAGGAAGGCAGAGAACTTCAACTTGTTTTCCTGGGGAGAAAAAGGAGAAAAGACGTAGACTGGTTTACAAGAACAAAGCCCACAAGTCTCCTGAGAGTCAAGAGATCTCTCCGTCCCTCTGTCAGAAAAGCTACAGAAGGGACCCAGGGGAGGGCGCTGCTACCCAGAGAGGGCTGGGGAGTGATAGTGATGAAAAACTAAGGTCCTGAAGTGGATCTGCTCTAAAAGTGGCAGAAGTAAATGGAAAACAAGACAAAGATCAATATGAGAGAAGCAAAGGACAAAAAAAGACTAAAAAGAACCCAGTGAACATGGTGTGAAAGGAGAGCCTTCTGGGAAGACCAGAACTATTTCTGAGCCTCTCGGGTTCTGAGCAGGGAGCGGCAGGCCAAGGTCTCTAAGGGATCAGGGTCTGCCACCTATTTGGCTGGAAAGGCACCATGTGATTTGTCTGTCTAGTTGTGAGGCTGGCTGCAGAGGGAGAGGGTGAGACACAGCTGAACCACAGGCTATGTGCAGAGGTGCAGGGATTGACTCTGCTTCCCAAGCACTGCCCCCTGGATCAGCTTTTCCTACAGGACTCTAGAGAAGCACTCTTGAGGCTATCTGGGGGCCTGCACTAGTCCACTGCCCACCTGCTGTGGAGCCCAAGGTCACAGGGGTGCACATCTGAAGAGATGAATGGAGAGGATGGAATCTGGGTGCCCCAGACACTAACAACCAGAACATGGAGGCCAGGATGCCACCCCCTACAGCCGCATGTGACACACCTGCTTGACCTTGGCCACATCCCTGATGAAGGCGTCATCATTCACCCATGGCAGCAGCTTCTTCAGTTGGCTCAGGTCAGTCATGAAACCTTCCCCGATTTTCTGGAGAACCATGAAGAGACACATGACTTCTGCCCTGGGCAAGACCCATCACCATGCCTCTGCTCTCCTCTCCAACCGTTTCCAATTCAAAGCTCCTCAGCCCCGGGGCTATTAGGAAACATCCTCCATGGTGGATGCTTATAAGCCTAGCAGAAAGGACACCACACTTCCTCTGTCAGACCTAGTTCATGCCCAGCTATTCTGCAGTGGTCCACATCTTGGTGAGCTCAACTACCCACCACAAGTGCAGGGGCCAGCCGGGCTCAGGCCCTCTTTGCTGCCCAAGCCGCACCTTCCACTCACCCCAAAGGCTCTGCACCCCTCACCACCATAACAGTGCCTTTGAGCAACTCCCCACCACACTGCCCTAACCTGGGCCTTCTTCCTTCTCCACGTTACAAAGAGGGTCTTTCCAAGGAAAGCTCTCAACAAGTATCCTCCTGTAGTTTCCCATTGCTAATTCAGGATCAAGAGAGAACTCCTGGTCTCTGGTACTTGGGCCAGTTGTTTCCATAGACCCTCCTTACTGTCCCTGCTTGCCCAGCATGATATGGCTTTGATCTTCAGCTGCCCGGTGGTCCCCCTGCACAGGGCATGGACCTGAGACTTGCCACCCCTGAGAGCTGTGGCCAGCCCTTCCCGCTCACCCAGATCTCGCCTTGCTGTCCCTTCCTTAGCAAGTCTTTTCCCCTGCATGAGGCATGCGCATCACTCTGAGGCCCTCATGGGTGGTGATGGAGCTGCCCAGAGCCTATCAGCCAGAGGGCTGTGTTCCCAGCAGCAAGTCCCCACAGTGGGCCCAGCCTGGCAACAATAGCCCCCTGCATCTAAGAGTACTTGTTCCCTTCCTTCCCAAGCAAGCACAGGGATAGGTTGGTAAATACCTGCCCATTCATGTCCCCAGAGCCATAGCCAGCCCAGAAGGCCTCTGGTGATGACCTGACCACACTGGCTTCCAGACAACAGTTCTCACCTCCACGATGGTGTCGGCCAGCCCAGGGTTGCATAGGAGCAGCCAGCGTCGGGGTGTGATACCATTTGTCTTGTTCTGGAACTTCTCTGGCTCCAGTTCATAAAAATCCTTAAAGCTAAAAACAGTAGACAGGCAGCTGTTGTGAATGCGGTGCTTTAGACAAGGCGAGCAAGAGAGTAAAGGACTTCCAAAGAGAGACCGCGAAGCCTGGTTTTCTGTTTTGTTTCCTCAAGACACAGGGTATTAACACCACTGCGGGGAGAGAAGTTGTGAGCAGATACAGCCACTTTCATCACTGTGCCCCACGCTGACTACGTAGTGTGTGCCAACTGGGACCATTCAGAAGTGGAGCCTGCCTGTTTCCAGAGTGGTCTGTGTGTCTGATTTATGACCATGGAGCGTTACTGGCTTCAGGGCTTGAGAAACTGGGGCTGTTTCCTCATATGTAAAGTAGAGGAACACCAGGTGACAAAAGCCCTTGCCTGGCCCTAGAGACACAGGACCTTCTATATGGACAGAAGGCCCATGGGGCTCACAGGAGATGGGGGAGGGGGACCAAGGCAGAAACTCTGAGATCACATTGCACTGAGGGGGGATAGGAGACATGAGGCTCAACCTGGACCTCTACCCTGCCCAGTGTGCTGGTCACCAGGCAGGACGCTTGAGATACTCGGCCAACAGAAGGCCTGGGAGCAGGGACTGGACAGACTGGAGACACAGCCCTTTGGCTGGTGTGCCCAGGCAGCTCAGTCGAGGCTCACAGGGCGTGGAATGGTGCTCCAGATCAGCTGCCATATGTGGTGGCTGAGGTCCCCAGAAACACGTCTGTGGTCAGGACAAAGGTGAGTCCCAGCTTGGGGCAAACACCACACACTCACACAGACTGCTTCACGATCTCCGAGTGAATACGGGCCACACCGTTGACAGCGTGGGAACCAATCACACACAGGTGTGCCATGTTGATCCGCTTGCAGTCCCCTTCCTCAATCACAGACATCCTCCTCAGCCGGTCCACGTCTCCAGGGAACAAGGCCGCCACGTGCTGTGCCAAGACAGATGGGTGAGCAGGGGGTGGAGGTGAGCTGGAGTTCCACAGGGAAGTTACGTTTCCTCCGGGGAAATCCTAAGGCTGCTACACCATAGCCCTGTACCCCCAAGGGCCTGGACTGCAGGGGAAGCTCCCCCAAACTGCCCAGCCCAGGGGGCCTGGGCGAGCCTGAGGACCCTGCAGAACTGTTCTGTGGGAGGAAGCGAGGGGACCAGCCACTCGACTCACAAGGAAAAGCTAGTCCCTGTGGGCCGGGTGGTGGGGGAGTATTGAGAGGGGCCTAAATTAACTTATTTTGACCTGTGAGAACAGCTACTTTGCACCAGAAAGCTAAAAAGTGAACTACAATCATAACTGAGTTCTAAGTTCCTCCAGTTTTCATATAGTTTCCTCTGTGGATAACAGAAAAGACACAGGGTGCTTTGTTTCCCAGACTCCCAAATGCTGCTCTGGTGTTAAAGGGCAAGTCTCTGGCCTCACGAACCAGTCACACCTAAACTCTCTGGGGGAAAGGAAGGTTTTCAGAAAGCTTGTATGCAACACAGTAGGGGTTGTGTGTGTGTGTGTATGTTGAGGGAAGCAATGGGGAGAGACCAGCCATCAGCTTCGCCATGTGACAGCCTCCAGTCCCCAGAGCCCACTGCTGGGCCGAGGTGGTCCATTCAGGAGATAAAGCACCTATCCCAGGCCACATGGCAGCAGGAGGGTGGGGAGGGCTGGGCAGTGTGGTGTGGCCTACCAACGCCCTGGTCCTACATCAGCAGTAAGGGTGGGCATGGTGGGTTCAGCCCCCCAACCCCGGCAGGCCAGGCTCACATCCAAGTGTCTCTGGTTGATAGCGTAGATGATCTCCAGGTGCCGCGGCAGCAGATTCTCAAACAGGGACACAGGCCAGCGCTCCAAGGCCTCTGGCAGCACAGTGTGGTTGGTGTACGCACAGGTCTTCTTTGTGATTTCCCAGGCCTAGAACATTCCAGTGTTTTGTTTAGAAATATGCGGCTTTCTTGCCAGATGTGTAGGCAAAGGGAAAGTCTGGGAGTGAAGGCAGAAGTTCTGATCCCAGCACAGGCCCAGTGAGCTGCACAGCTAATGCAGTGTACACGCTGATTTTACCCTGCTATCTGGAAATCACCTCATAATTTTTTCTTTAAATTGGTAAACAAATAGTGCTGAGCATTTTCTTTTTCAGTTTCACTAAAGTGACTTAACCATAGCCCAGAAGATGCTGGTAAGCATGATTTCTACTGTCCATTGGATAGGGGCCAGGAACCCAGAATGGGGCCCCCAGGCTCACCCAAATAGACTCTGGTTGTTACAAAATGGAGCCATCTGTTTTATAACTTCACTTGTTGATTTCATTACACTACGTTAAGGAAAACCCACTAAACTACAGAATCTAGGACCACAGTAAGTCAACACATGAGAACAAGCCTATACCTATGTAAACAAAGTATTTGATACTTCTTGGCCTTGATTTCTAAAATGAAAAAATATATATATGAGAAACTCTAAGGGTAAGAATCCCTGTCTTGTCTTCCAGGCAATTGCTATTCTGTACCTTAGCACCACTTCCCCCACTCAGGGTGTCCTGGTCCCCTGGGAGAAACCCCTGTCTTTTTCCTGGGGTATCTTCCAGCCAGGACCTCTGACTTCTCAAGGAGAATCCTCAGTTCTCCCCCAGCCACAGGCAGAGGACTCCCTCCACTCCCAGACTGGCTCGGGCCCATCCCTGGGACAGACCTGGTCAGGGGAACATGGCCGCCCCATGCCATGACCCAGGGGCCACCAACATGGTGGCCTGAGCCTACACCCTCAGTGCTCACCTTATCCCAGTCTATCTTCTCCACGTCCACCAGGATCCGCATGAGCTCAGGGATGGCGAGGGCGGGGTGGGTGTCATTCAGCTGGATGGCGACCTGCATCCACACAGAGGATCCCTTTAATCCACTTATTTATACGAGCAACATGGGAGCCTGCACGGAACTGGAGTCCTTATCGCCCTGCTTTGGGGGTCAGATCTAAAAGGCTGACAGTGGGGACCAGACAGCACTGCAGAGGCTCTGGGTCTAACAGGGAGATGACCAAGGCAGAGAGTGGGCACAAGGCCCAGAGGGACCACAGGCAGCCAGGTGTGCTCTGAACAGGTGTGCTCTACAGCAGGTGTGCGCTGAGCAATGTTTACTGAACAGAGCCCACCAAATGTGTCAGGCTTTGCCATGGGAACCTTTACAGAGTCCCGACTGCCTCAACTCCTACAAGGAGTACTCCTCCAGTACAGCCCTCAGGAGAGAGGAGCGGCCTGGCCACTGACGGCCAGCTGCACTGTTGTCCTGCCCACCCTCCTGTCCCATGCCCACTTTTGGAAGAAGAAATCGAGGCTAGACCATCCTGTGTTCTGCACTCAGCTCAATCCCTTGTTACAAACATACCTTGTCTGGGAATGTCTCAAAACAGGTTCTCACTGGGTCCCGGCAGCCAAACTTAGAGGACTTAAAGCGTCGAATGATGTCCTGGAGTGTGGCAGCCACCACAAAGTACTCCTGCTTCAGGCGGAGCTCCTTTCCCTCAAAGAACTGCAGACACCAGGCAGTCAACACTGCGGCGACCCTGGGGCCAGCCTACTCCACCCCATACTCAGGTCTGCCCCAGGGCTGCAGGTACATGTGCAGGTGGCCAGCACGATGCCAGTGCCTCAGACCCACCATTCCTGCCAAGGTGCTAACCTTCGTGTGCCCTTCCAACAGGGAGGGTGTGCGAGGCAGTGAGTGTGGGGTCACACTGCCCTGTGTGGGGACATGGGGTGGGAAGGTCTAGTCTCTTAACTGTAAGAGGCAGAGCAAAAGAGCCACACAAAAAGGCAACCTCCAAAGTGTATCCTCAAAGTACACTGCACCTGCAGCTTTAGAATTTGCTGTAAATCTCGGGCAGGGGATAGGGCATGCAATTCTTTGGGAAGTGGCATCAGATGGTAGAAGAAGAGCAGAGGTAGACTGGACCTGAGGTCTACCAGGCTCCTGAATCTTGGCACATGGCCTTCCACATGTTCTTGTACATGGTCTGTGTGCAGTAAGCTCAGACCTGCCTCTGGGGGTAACTGTGTGCTTATGTGCTTGGCTTGGAGCAGGAGTGCTCTGAGCAGGTTTGCAGTGTGTGCCGACTTGTGCTCTGAGCAGGTCAGCTCAACAGCGGGTGTTCTCTGAGCAATAAGAGTATGAGCAAGGTAGTGTAGCACCCCCTCAAAACCCTCTAGGGAGAGGGCAAAAAAGGAGACACTATAGGCACACTTGGACTCACTAGACCTCAGCAGGGTACCCTGCCTGTCTTCACACCCCAGGAGCAACAGGAGGGCCATCAGCCTTGCCATGAGGCTGGCAAACAGGTCCTTCCAGAGAGTCTGCCTTCCATTCCCACACTTGCAGGAGGCGTGGCGCAGACTGACTACTCACATTGTCGTTTGGATACAGGACTCTGGAGATGTTCTCAGCCAGGTTTCTGTCCAGCACTGCCTCCACATAGCCACCCACATTGACTGCGAGCAGAGATGGGGAGGTCAGATCCCAGGCCTCCCCACGGCTCTGTAACACTTTCCCAACAGTCTAAGGAAAAGCATCACTGGACAGATGCCCCCCACACCCTGCTGCTCTGGGGCCCTGTTCATTCCCCCAGATCTAGGCCAGCAGCCCAAATGTCCCCCACTCCTACAGAGGCCCCTCACTCTTTCCTGGGAATGCAGAGGTCCCACAGGATTTCTCTTGGCTGGTGACTCTCCAAGGGGAGTCCCCTGGCACCAGGAACCTGCCCTCTGGCCTCTTACAACTAGAGGGGTGTGGCCAAGGAAGCAGATGGTCTCTAGCCGAGTGCAGAGACAGGACAGGAGCTGAGTAGGAAGAGGGGAGATTGGGCACAAACCACCCAACAGGACAGGGAGAACGCACAATCCTGGAGTTTGAAGTCATTAGGCGCCTTGGCAGACCACAGCCTCATGGTGTTGACAGTGTTGTTCTTATAGCCTGGCACTGGGGTGTCATAGGGCATAGCCAATACCACCTGGCCAAGAAAAGAGATGTTAGGATGCAGTCAAGCAGAACAACAGTGCTGGCTGCTTGATCCAGTCAGAGTCTTGACCCACGAGGTCGGTCAGCTCCAACCTTGCAGCAAACAGTTGCACCCTCCTGTTGGTGGTCTACCTGCTCATATTGCTCCGGCTCTTCTCCTGCCCCCAACATGCCTGACCTGCCTTTCACCGTCCAGTGCCAGGTAGTGACTGACCCATCCGGCCCTGCCGCACACCTGCTTGCTGACTTCCTGAGCTGGGACACCTGGGAAGCCTCACAGGTAAGCCACTCCTCAGTATCCTGGGTCGCGTTTGCCTTCTCGCTTTACCTCCTGCAATCCTGCATTGACTCCCTGCTCCGCTCTTGCTCCCTGAGCAGCCAGGTGCACACAGTCTGCCCTCATGCCATCCTCTTCTCCTTCCACTCTGGGCATCTCAGAACCAGTGCCTATCTCCCAACAGAGGGCTCCTCCTCGGGACCACCACTGCCCACCTGTAGCAAGGCTCCTGCCTTGATGCTAACCTAGGCAAAGTCAAAGCAGCTGACTCCCTCTGCTTGGACAGAAATGACAGGACTTGCTCTTCACCCAGAGCTTGCCGTGTGTTCTCCTAATTCCTATTTGCCCAAAAGTATCAGCTTTGCCTTTGCCATGCACAGGACAAAGCAGGCCACTTCCAGCTGGCTACCTGCTGATGGGGTTTCTTGCTTGTGGTGGCACAGGAGTGCCACTGGGCAGTGTGACAAGATGCAGTCAGCTCAGATCGACAGGAATGCCAGCTTGCAGCCTGTACCATCTTCCCTTCCCATCTCTCACCTGTGCCACTGGCTCCTGAGGCCCAAAGCCAGTGGCATCCTCTGTAGGCAGCCCCAACTTTCTCCTCCCTCTCCATGGCCCCCCTCTGGGTCAATTCTACATCCTGCCCTGTCTGGGGTGCCCCAGGGAGCTCTGGGCTTCCCTATCTCCCCTGCCATTTTCATTTTCTACAACAGACACATTTAGAAATATGTTTATCCCATTTACAGCATTTTTAATCTAAATACAACTTATTATGACAGGCTAGGACTCCACGACATGGCTGTAGCCAGTGCCTGCACCAGGACCCTATTAAAAGCAGACATTGCAGGAAATAGGAACAATTTGCTTTGCCTGCTGCAATTGTCTCGCCTTTCTGTACTCATGCTATACACATCACCAGACAACTAAGTCTTACTGCGAGTACCCCCCCCCCACTCATGAGGCCTTCTGCCAGCCCCCCAGGCCCCAAGCCACGAAGATGTATGCTCTCTGTGTCTGTGAGCCCAGACTTAACCACATGCCTCATGTCTCTGGCTAGCAGCAGTCTCGGTCCTGCCCGCCTCCACAGGCCTGGCTGTTCACGGGCATCCGCTCACGTCCAGGGTTCTGACAGATCAGAGTGATGGCGATGCTGGGAGCTGCCGGTGAGCTCCCCAGGAAGTAAACATCCTGTCCCCATCACAACTCTGCTCTGTTGCTATTAAACACCTGCAGGTCTCATGCCCAACATGCAACTACAGAGTAGGCTCATTGCCCAGCACTGTCCACTGTCTAGGAAGTTCTTGGTAAAGTCTAAAAAATTGAGTACATGAGGGAAACAAAGCCTCCCCTGCGTTTGTATGAGGAGCGCAGTCCTCTGCAGAAACAGCAAGCGTCCCACTCCAAGAGGGAGCCTGTGCCACACGGAGGACACAGGTGGCCACACACTTGGCCTGGCCCTGGGAACAGCCAGTAGGTACCTGCGTGTCCAGCCACTGCACGCCCTCGGAGCTGTGCTGCACCCGCCCGTAGAAGTGCACTGGGAGCATGTACTCAGGCCGGGCTTTCTCCCAGGGGTTTCCATAGCGCAGCCAGTCGTCAGCCTCCTCCACCTGGGAAGGAGGCAAAGAGGTGAGTTCCCGGAGGAGATGCCTGCTCTGCACCCGCCATGCAGTTCTGAGGATGTGACCCAGCCCTGAAACAAAGCTGTAGGCGAGGATGACACAAAGATTTCCAGTTCCAATCAAGGTCAAGCTGTAAAATCAATACTTGGACTGCTAAAGGAACAAACTCATACAAAATTTAGAAAACTGCATCAAAGTAAAAACACATAAAGAATCAGCTGAATTCAGAAATAGAAAGGAATTTAGACCTGATGCTACAATGTGGATGGGCCATGAAAATAGGAGGTTAAGCCAAAGAATCTACATATGATGATTCCAGTTTCATAAAATATCTAGAACAGCCAACACCATACACAGAATACAGAGCGTTGTCAGGCTCTGGGTGTGACTACCAGTGGCCCTGGCTTTCTTCTGGAGATGATGAACATGTTCTGGTGATGAACAGTGATGAGGAATGCCTGGCTCTCAGAATACATTAAAAACCACCTGAGGGCCCTCTCTGGTGGTGCAGTGGGTTAAAGTGCAGCATTAAGAAGCTATCTGCAGCACATAGGTGATTTGGTGATAGGAAGACCATGGGGATTATAACTGAGATAGAAAAATGCACAAAATGATGTAAAAATAAGCTATTATATTATTATAATATATAAAAAATAGATAATATATATTAAATATATTAAAAATAATATATTATTAAAAAGAGTAATTTAGCAATATAAAAAAAGTTGTAAAAAGCATGTATAGGACAACTAAAAAAACTATATATGGATCAAATAATAATAATGTATAGCTATTAACTCTTATTTTTGATCATTTAAAAAAAAAGAAGAACGAGTTTAATTCCAGGCCAGAGAGGTGACTCATATGACACAGCAGAACTCTCCTGTCCTGCCCACTGCTCCCCTCAGCAGTGTTTTTCATTTTGTTTGCCTGTTCTGCTCCCTAGTCTGTCTGGTGAAGCCACTCATCCCCACACTTCTCACCAATACCTCAATTCTTGTATGCATAAATAAGTTTAAAAAAAAAAACTCTTGATGTCTACATGAAGACATTATTTTAAAAAGAAAAGAATCATGGGGCACCCGCTATTTTGAAAAGGACACCACATACCTGAGAGGTTTGGAGAGCCTGAACCCACCTTGCTGCTAGGCCTCCCCAAAGGGAAAAATCAGTGAGTATGTTGATTCTGTCTCTGTCCCAGAGACTCATCCTTTGAATTAGAAGTATTGGTGGGTTGTTTTCCCCACCACCCTGTGGAATTCATGCTGCTTAGAAACAATGGAATAAATTAATTTGGGAGGGCAGTGAATAAAGAGTTATAAATAAAAATTAAAATTTCAATGTGGTTAAGTCTTTTTTTCTTTAAATTTAACCAGCATGTTGTTTTGAGGGGCTTTTTTAAAAATAGTTTTCTACAGAAGCAAAAAGTCACCAAGAGAATTTGGGTTGTGATGTAGGAAGGTGACTGCTTCAGTATGCCCCTCTCCATCACAGTGGCAAGACTTCTGTGTCTGGTGACAGAAACAGTCATCACATACCACTGCCACCTCTGACCTCCTGCTGCATGTCCTTGCACATTAGTGAAATTCACCACCACCAGCACCTGGCCATCTCTCACAGAGTAATTTCAGGAGTCACCTGCAAAAACAGCACCTTCCTAAAGACAAAAGGCAGTTGGATCCCACCTTCTTCCTGCCCCTGAAGCCAACATTCCAGGCAGGCTGACCTGCGGCCCATTTGCAATGATACTGCTGTCCAACCATGTGTATATTTAATTCTGCTACACAAAACTCAGCTAAAACCATTCTCACTGACAGGTTCACTTGAAAACTCATCTGTCCTTATAGGGCTGTTTTTACACTGTAATGCAAGATGGCAAGGAGGAGCCAGAAGAAAGAAATGTCCATTGTCAGGCAAACACACACCACCAAAACCTTCCTGCTGATAAGCGTAACCCAGCGAGCACACAGGGGCCAAAGTCTGTCTTACAAACACACACGTCGCGACCTCAGCCATGGGAGTCAAAAGACGCCACCATGCACAGGGGTCGGGGCACTAGAAAAGCACTCAGAATGTGAATGAAATCACCCGCAGTGCTGGGAGGAAACACATTTCTCCTTTCATGGTTGGAGACAACATTTCTAAAAATTAAACAATGACGGAAATCTGTTTTAAGTTTAGGCATTATTTTTCTTTATCAATAGTTTGTTATGAGCATTTTCAAACTCAAAAAATGTTAAAAGAATTAGTCACCCTCACACCCTCACCACCCAGGCTCTATAACTGTTAACTTTTGCTGTGCTTGTGTCAGTATATGTCCATCCTATTCCTAATGTTTTGCTGCATTTCAAAGTAAGCTGAAACACTCCTCCATTAAATATGTGTGTCATTAAATAGAGTCCATTATGTATTTACTGTTTAGGTTACTATAGGTACAGTGAAATGTGTAAATTAAAAAAATTATTTATTCATACGGAACTGGGGTACAGGTAAGAAGTGCGGAGGTGATAGGAGGATTCACCAGAGCCAGAGTGGGGAGCAGAACAGGCAAAACGACAAAGTACACTGCTGAGGGAAGCAGCAGGCAAGGCAGGAGAGGTCTGCTGGGCCATGTGGGTAACCTCTGGGGCTGAGGATCAAACTTCCACTGAAGTGGCTACAGTCACCAGGAAGGGCCAAAATGTATAAATTTAAGAATGGCATTGATGATTTGTAACAACTGCACATGCCTGTGTAACTGAACACCCTTAAGACACAGGGCATTCCTACCCTGCTGTCCCATCTGTTTCACATAGGCGATGCTTTTCTTGTGTTACAAACCTCTGGTCCCAGTCCTCCTCTATCTGTAACCATCTGGCTCCAAATTATATTATATAAACTACAGTCTGTTCAGTGGATGGCTGTGTCTTCCATTTGAAGGGCCAGATGAGGGGAAATAGCCACCTTGCCCAGGCAGGACACTGGGCTACGCTTTGTGACACAGCTGTGGCCACTATACAGAGCTGCTTGCCATTTAGATGGAGCCTGAGCTTCCTGGAGCCCACTTTGCTTGGTAGCCTGGTCTTTAACCTTCCAAATACTGTCATTCATTTGTGTCAGGGGGTGGAGGCAGGAGGTAGGAACAAAACCTGTTTTTCTAACTGTTCTAGCTGTCCCTCTGTTGGGAACAGGGAACGGCCACCTTCAATATGCATGCAGCCCATGGTGGTGCATTCACACATACCCCTCCCATTAGGCCCAGCTGGGTGGGAGGTTCCACCCCACAAGGTCACCACCCAGAAGTTGTCTGCAATGAGTTGCCAAGAGACAGCTCTGCCAGGCCTTACCGAAAAAGGATGAGAGCAGGATTCTGCATAGTGCCTACCACTGCTTTGCTTTCAACTGGTGTGTTCTCTCTCCAAGGAGTTCAAAGAATAAAAAGCCCAACTGAAAGTGCTTCTGTGTATTTTCTTGTGTGAATGAGAATGAATAAATAAATGTAGGAGCAAAGTCTCACCTACCTGCCAGCCGTTGACAATCTTCTGGTTGAAAATCCCAAACTCATAGCGGATTCCATAGCCATAGGCCGCAAGACCCAAAGTAGCCATCGAGTCAAGGAAGCAGGCTGGAAAGTCCAAACACAAAGGTCTTGGGATCAATGACAAGGTCCCCTGGATCCAAGTCAAGACACCCAAGTTTAGTAGGAGCTGGGTTGCTGGCCTCCAGTCAGACACTGCTGACCCCCCTCAGCGTCAGGTTCCATGAAAAGGAAAGCCCCCAGAACACACTTCGGCTTGAAGACACCAATGTGGGGCATCTGGAGGTGGGAGGGAGGACTCCCAGAGAGCACATGGAACTCTGCACGTCTTTAAATGCAAGGTCCCCTCCCTGCCAACCTGTTCTTTAAGACCTTTGCTCAGACTGAAAGTCCTGCACCTCTCCGCACATAAAATCCAAGCTGTGAGGGTAGGCGGGAACATCACAAAATCCCTCCCCATATGCTAGTGAAGAAAGAGGAGAGGGGCTGGCAATGTATATTTCACCCTCTGCCATCATGGAATGGCTTCCTACCCTCAGGTTTCCAAAAGGTGAGAGAAGCACCAAAGTATCTTTAAAAAAATGAAAACAAGTGTTCTGAATAAAGATCCAGAAGCCACTTTATTAAACCTCTGGATTAAAAGAGAAAGAAAAAAATGTCTAAACACCAAATAAAATACACTCCCAATTCACCAGCTATGTTAGCCCTTGCAGAGGGGGTGGAACAGGACGACCCAGAGTGTGTAACATCTGGGCTCTTGTCTTGAGGAAGTCACTCTTGCAGGCAGGACAGGGCACATCAAGCTCCAGCAGGCTGGGTGACTCTGGGTCTGCACAGTGAGGGGAGTGTGTATAACAGAGGAGGGGCTGTCACTGCCATCACAGGAAGGCCACTGTGGAAGTAGACAAAAAGGTGGCAGGGAAGTTGACAAGAGCCAGACTGGGATGGCCGGGAAAGCCCTGCACAGGAGGGGTGGTGGAGAGCAGGGATGGGACAGCTGACGCAATCGTTTGGTGAAGAGGTCTCAGGGCCTGGGGCTTCCACAAGCTGGGAAAACATTCTGCTTTCACTGACTAGAAAAGGACAAGTGGGAAGACACTGATGGTTGACAGGATGCCACTGGGGTGAAGGCCACAGAGTGAACCAAGTCTTGGGCTAGTGGCATACAGGGAACCCATACTCAGCTCACTGCCTGTCTCATTTCAGCGTTGGAAACAAGAACAGATCCCTGAGCGTGGGAGCAGAACTCCCAGGATACTCCAGGGAGGTGGAGGGACAGGCCTTGCCAAGTGTTTTCATAGTGTGTGGCTTCATGTGCTATGTTGTTTGAGGGAAACGTTTCACTTACACTTTTTGAAGAATTTGAAAACATAAACACATACACCTCAGATCAATTTTATGATGTGTGCTCCCTTTACAAAATGATAACTCCCCAAAGGGGCATGACGCAGAGTGGGCCACATTCCCCATACGGAGCAGAACAAAGCTTTCTTTTGCTCCAGAAGCACTGCCTGAGAGCCTTGCAGCACACAATACAACCAAACCCCTACGTGCTGCTTCTGCTTCCACCCAGACCCCTTGAACCAAAAAAGCTGGTAAAAGTAATTTGAACAGAGAAAAAAAAACAGGAAAGAACTGGGTATGCTCACAGGATGGTCCAAGGGACAATGTCCCACAAAGGAACGGTTCTATTATTTCAGGGCATTCTGATTACTGTTAAGAACGCAGGAGCAACTTGTTGTAAGATGGGTGACAGTGTGTGTGTGTCTGTGCATGCCCCTATCTGTCTTTCTTCCAGTTACTGACTTATGGGCTGTGGACAGAGGTTGATACACTAGAAACCTCTCCAGCACCAGTTTCCCAACACTGGCATCTGATTTTCATGATGACTATGAAGTACAGAAAGAGAATATAAATTCTGCATTATTTTCCCACTTGTGACAAAGATTTTGACTTGGAGAACACTCTCCCATCTATTCTGAGGCCAGTTTTCCCTAAAAGACTAGTGCCAGAAGCACAGTGGAACTTGGCCTCTCCAGGTGACCACTGACAAGGGTCCAGCCCAGAAAAGCCCCAGTCGAGTGGGCACCATTACCTGCCAGCCTCCCCAGGCCTCCATTCCCAAGGCCAGCGTCCTCTTCTATTTCCTCCAGTTCTTCCAAATCCAGCCCCAACTGTGAATGATAGTAGAAGTAACATTTTAATAATACATAATAGTTTCCCTCACGCAACAGGAGGAAAATGATTCAAATCTCATGATCTTATATCAAAGGTTAGAATTTTCCTTTTAGATTTGAAAATTCAAAACGTTAAAATCTGGTGTTGATTTAAACCCATGCACGTAAATAAAAATTTCCAGATTATTCCAACATCTGCCAAACTATTTAAGAGCCAACAATCAAAATGAGACTTGGCTTAATAGCCAAAGATATTATTACTAGGTTAGTAATCCATATATTATGGTGGACAGATTATAAGATGTACTCTAAAAATGAAACCAATAGTTTCAGTAATTCTCTAATTTTATATGGTGTAATAATATTAATGACAATTTTTCAAACCAAACTCTAAAAGCACCGTTCCTGTGGCATTCCAATTGCACTTAACCAATCTTGTGAAATACACGTGGTATGTTCAGGTTACAGAAAAGCAACAGAATCCATTCCACTTTATTTAAAACTGTCCCATAATGCAGACTTTAAGGCTCTCAGTTATGACATTTGGATATTTGTCCCATTAATCTAGCTTTAGATTATGAAATATAACAAATTGTTCATAATAATTATCTTGATCAGTGGTTTTTAAAGTTTTAGTTCAACGAGGAGCCAAATAACTATCACTTAAAGGAATTAATTTATCAAGACTTACCAAATTAAAAACTGAAGTAGACAAATGCTATTTAAGTATAAATGAATTCATTAAAAAAAAAACAAACCCATAACATGTTAACATAAGCATCATAGTTTAATAAAAAATAGCCATATTATCTTTTTAAAATTTGGTGACAGTGGCAGTATTTTTCATATTTTTGCAAGGTTCTTTAGTGAATTTTCTATCTCAGCATTCACTCTCTTGAACTATTACATA